ATTTTGTATTGCCAATGTCTATTAAAGAAACAGTTGATCTGCTCTAATGGTTGCAAACTGCATTACCTTCCTGCATTCCTTGTTTATACATGTTTGTTTTGGGCCTGTGTATTTGCAGCTGACTAAATAGTTAGGTTTTGCTTTTGTAGGTTTTGATTGGTCATAACAAAAACAGAAACTATGGCTGATGAATTTGATGTGGAGGCGATGCTTGAAGCACCTTACAAAAACGAGGTATTTTGACGATACACGCTTTTAAAATGAGTTTGATTGAGCTGACAATCAACCCCCAAACTTGGTTCTTTTGTCACGTTCAAGTTGTCAGCTGAGATGTAGAACGATATGAGACTATTGATGTTCATACTGTACTTGTAAGCTCAGGACTTAGAAAGTTAGGGTAAATTGGTAAAAAGTATGGAGCGAAAGCCCTTTTAACTTTGCTGACAAATTGTCTTTGCTCAAAATCTAGAAGTATTTTTATCTTGTTCAGGGCTATTTTAGGATTCACAGTTTCAGATTAGATCACTTTAGGAACGAATAACTGCTAACAAGCTTTTGAAGGACACAAATTTATTGCACTGTACATGTACAGCTAATAGGGTGAGGCGGTTTTTCGGTAAACCGAAAAAACCTGATATTTTTTGAAAACCGAAATACTCTATGTTACTTTTGGAGAAAAACAGGGGCAAAAACGAGGAAAATTCGTATTTTTAATATCGAACCATACTTATACGAGTTTGTTGCAAATGAATCAAGTTTTGGCATATCATTCTACAGTTTCGCACGATCAAACGATGGTGAATTTTGATTCGCCAGTAACAAAGGCGTACGTCTGCGAAGACAGGTCTAAAATATTTCTATTGAATACGGCAGGATTTTCAAACATATTTTTTTAAAAAAACCGGTTCACTCAGGTTTTTTGTTGGTTTCCTTTTTTTTCAGAAACCGCCTCACGCTAACAATAACAAGTCAAATTGTATGGCGTTAGACAGAGTAAAATAATAAAGTAGGGTGCAATGCAATTTAATTGGTTACCAAATTGCAAATTGATGTCGGAACAACTCAAAACTTAACGACTATTAAGCTTGTTGAAATCGAGCATGATGTGCATCAAGCTTCTTGTTTGGCTTGAAATTACGTACCTAAACCTAAAGCATGTAAAATCATCAGAAATGTTTAAAATCTCACTACCGCCACAAACATTTACTGTAGGTTGGGGCGGGCAGAATAAATTGTAGTCATGATCTCTCTAAGTCCTCTGTTGTTTTTTGTAGACATTTGGTTTGTGGGTTCAACTACAACCTTGAAGAGGTAGACCATCAATGCACACAAAAACTTTTCTAAAATTTCTATCAATTTGAACAATTGTTTCTTGCAGGTTGAAATCTCGACAACGATGTTTCCTGATTTTTACAAAAAGTGTGCACCCCTGCCTGTCCCTGTTGCTATTAAATATCATTAAAACCCCCTCGCCCATAACTTAATTCTAAATTACCTTGTAGTATTTACAATAGCATGGACTTTCATGTTCCGTAGAATTAAAAGTTAAAACCTTTTGTTCTTAACTGTTTTTAAAGACGTTTCAACTCATTTCACTTCTTTCGGGATGTGCTGGATATTTGATATATTTTACTGGATAGTACTGGTCGAACTTTTATTATAATCATAAAACCGTCCGTTTTGCATTAAGGTATTGTGAAACACAAACAACTAGGCCAAAGAACCTGTGACACTGACATTAAAATGAAATTACAGTTAAGTTTTTTGTGATGTAAACTGATTTGTTTAACCCAAGATTTGATGCGATTTAAGGCGAGTTAAGATCCCAGAGTAGGCCTATTGTCTGACAATCCTTGTCCCACATATTGAACAGGCAATGGACTATTTTATGATAAAAAGTTAGTGTCCGGTAGTCTACTATCCAGTACCATCCGGCAAAGCAGTATCCGGCATATCCCTAAAGGTTTGGTATTTTCATTGGGTTAATCAAAGTCTTTGTTTTAATTTAGGTATTCAAATGAGTACCGTAGTGCAAAGATGATACCTAAATCCTAATGGCCGATGGTCTCGCTAAACCTTGTAGCTTTCTATTCCACGCATGTTTGTAATTATGTTTTCTTTTTTAGAGCACCGCGAATGGCAAGTCCAAGAAATATGATTCCGACGAAGACGACAGGAAAAGCAAACGGTAAGATTTGATGAATTTGGAAGCAAATGAAGAGAATATTCTGAATGGTAATATCACTGTAACAAGATTTTGCATAAATCGTTCACTTTGGAAGCAACATTTATTGGCGTTATGCATTGCATTGGATTAATGTCGTAGGTATTTCTGGCATGTAGGAGTATATTCTATTTATCTGCATCGGGTGCATGCTCGTATTGCAAAGGCTGATATCCTGCTGTTTCAAGATGTTTTCAACAAAAGAATTTTCCTTTTCACCGCTGGATAAGCCGATCATCGTCCGGTGTTCAAGTACCATGAGGACAAAATTGAACGAATAAATGTAGTGCTCAGAATGTAGGAAATGGCATTTCAAAAAGATTCCGGGGAGAATCCCAAATCGCAGTAGCAATGCATCCCCCTGGAAAACCTCCACCCCCCTGTCATAAAACAGTACCGTGTATCTTTTATAACTCAATGAATATTTAGGTTAGATAAATATTCTGTTGGCAAAGGATTTTAGCTCCATATCTGAGCACCTATTTCTTCTTTCACCCTAGGTAAAACAAAAATTTTTAGAATCCTACCAGTGATGTTTGGAACTCTTGTGTCCGCCATTTACCACATCCAAGCAACGCCCAAATGTTTTTAGTTACCATACTGTATATGTGACTGTGTGTGCAAATTCTTAATGTCTTCATTGACAACAAACTTTTTTGCTGTAGTAAAGATCTTAATGGCCGTGTGTTGTTACTAATTAGTAACATTAATTGACTATATATAAGAATAGATCATTGACGCTTTTAACATAAACCAGAAAACCCACTGAGCACCAGGGCTTCTCCTTGATGAGCAAAATCGTCTGGCGTTAGACAGAGTGAACAGTAACAAGATAGCGCATCAGCGCGCAATGCAACTGAATGTGTTAACCAGGGGTGGATCTACCGTAGGGGTTCAGGGGCGGTGCGCACTCCACCTAGTGGTCCTAGAAAATATCTGCTTGACCGTACATTTTCTGCTTTTTGAATAGCGATTAGCGGGACTTCTATTTTTGCGTGTCGATTTCTTGAAACGATTGAATTGATTTGTGAGCTCACGAGAAAATAAAGAATGCTTTAGTTAAATATCATGGTTAAATATGTTAACATGTCGAAGTTGTTCTACAGCCATATTTCACTTACTCTACTTTAACAAGCAAATTTACTGTACTGTGATACAGCAACTGTCCAGTCACGCATAAAAAGCCGATATAAAGTTTATAAACAAAAGATAATGTAAAACGTAACAGAACGGTGAACATGCAGATTCGACCATCTCAAATAATGGAAATGCTGAGATAGTAGCGTTGCAGACTGCAGAGGAGAGTGGGCAGTAAGGCTCCCTCATGCACCACCCCATGGAGAACCTGCACCCTTCCTTGCATTCTTGCAATTGAGGCTAGATCCGCTCCTGGGGTTAACCGTATAATACCAATGAGAACTATAATAAACTGTAGAATAATTATAATTATATTGATTTAACTGCATTGGCAATACAACCATCGATAAATAAATAGTTCCATTACGAAATTTTGAAATCGAGTTGCGCTAAAGGTATTTGAAAGATTTTTTCTGCCCTTCATTTGGTTGAAACTAAACATTGCATGGTGTGATGGATAATCCAGGACCAAGTGACGATATATACAGTATATATACAATTTTTTTCCCCAAAATTTTACTGAAGTTATTTTTAATTTTGGTTCTAATACAAACTTGTGTGTGCAGTATTTTTGATAATTTTCTTTCTTGAGTAGATGAGTTCAATCAATCGAATAATTTACAATTTTACCAAGCTTCATATTTTATAACTGATACATGGCTGTCGTTGGTTAAATTTGTCTGTATTATAAAAGTAAAAAAGAAGTATTGAAAATGTTGAAAACTTTGAAATATTTTTCATGACGTTACACAACAATATAAAGACATGGTATTTTCAAGAATTTGAAAGTAATCGCGTTTCTTCTTGTTTTAAACAGATACATGTGTAAATTCGATCGTGGTATAAAGGTAATGGCTAATGCGTCATATAGGCATGACAAGGCCACTGGAAGACATCGAAGGATTGGCTTGTTCCCTAGCCTGAATTTCGTACCTTAGCTTGCGCGCGTGCTTCAATTTTTAGTGCAGCAAAAAGATTCTTCTGCGTTGTAGAGGAAACTAAATAACTTGAAAAACTCTAACCAACTGAGCTACAGAGAGACAGTTGTCGAGCTCTAACCAACTGAGCTACAGAGAGACAGTTGTCGAGCTCTAACCAACTGTGCTACAGAGAGACAGTTGTCGAGCTCTAATCAACTGAGCTATACAGAGAGACAGTTGTCAAGCTCTAACCAACTGAGCTACAGAGAGACAGTTGTCGAGCTCTAACCACAAGTTCGTGTATAAATAAATTTTTAAAAATCTTGTTTCTGTCAGCCTTTGGGCCGCAGTGATTGGCTTCTGCTAGAGCGGTCACCTTGTAATTTTAAAACGAAGTTAAAACAGTATTTTGTGTATCATAGTCATACTGTTAAAGTCCACGGTGAGTCCGTTGAAGATTTGGGCGAAGCTAAAAGCTACCAGTGATTACTGGAATTATTCTGCAGTTGTTCCAGTGTATTTAACTTTTGCGTTTTCTTCTATTTTAGATCTCGAAGGAGACGAAGCAGGAGCCGCAGTAAGAGTCGAAGTAGAAGCGGAGATAGAAGACGAAAGCGCAGGTCAGTTGAATGGAATACCAGGATTTTGGACATAGAACATGGTGCTAGCCGGTTGAACATAGAACAGGGCATACCTGTAGATTTTATTATTGTGGAGGTAGCCAATCTTTAAATGGAGCTAGGCTATGCCACATTCTCGTACCCAGAGCCCGCCTTACACACGATCAACAGAGCATGACAAGGACGCGGTGTACGAGCCTCTGAACGAGAACAAAATGCCAAGTGTGTCAATGTCATGTTTATGCGCATATCCTGGGTATTTCAGTCTTATTTAATACAGTGGAATATAGAAGTGCATTCTGAGAGTTCTTGCAGTTATTCCAGTTAGTCAGTAACTCCTGGCTTAGATAACAAGCTCCAAATGATTTTTGGAGTTGGCAACACAGCAAGTAACTTCAACCTTACATGTATGTACTGTACCTAGCGGCTATATAGGCTGACTCGCCTCGCTATACACATATTTTTGGAGTTAGGCAGTAACTCATGGCTTAGATACCTTGTTTTTTCATGATTTTTGGAGTTATACGTAGCTCCAAATGATTATTGGAGTTAGCCGGTAACTCCAGGCTTAGATGCCTAGCTCCTAAATTATTTTTGCAGTTGTATACTTATATAGCTCCAAATCATTTTTGGAGTTAGCCAGTAACTCCAGAATTCATATTTCAACTCTTGAATTACACAAGTTACTCAAGTGTATATTTTGGTTTGGAGTTAGCCCTTTAGAGCTTGGAGGTAGCGTCGCTCCATAACTTCCTACTTTCTACAGGCATGGAACAGGGTGCTAGCCAGGGGCGGGTTGTTCAAAGCCAGATTAGCGCTAACCTGGGTTAAATTCCAACCAGTTGTTTTTGTTTATGTACTTCTGCATGATCATTTGTTTCAAAACTTTAGAAAATGAAATCTCTATTGAGCCAGAAAAGATTTCTGGAAAAACATATTCAACTTGATTGATGAGCTGTTGGAAAATTTAATGTATAGATTTGTTTTAACCCAGGGTTAGGCTAACTGGCTTTTGATTTTTGAACAACCGGCCCCAGAAGATTAAAAAATTCGGCAATGGGTGATTGAGTGACTGATTCCAGGCTATAGAGGAAATTTTGATCTAGGCAAGAAGAACGAAATCCAACACCACAGCTAGAAAGAGCATCTTAGAATGAGTAAAACTGCAAAGATTGGTTGCTAAATGTTGTAAAATGAAGAAAATGTAGCCCGTGAAGTTCGCAAATTTTGTGTATGTTTGTATTACGCGCGGTAAAAATAACCACTTTCGGCTCGAAAATGGTTATTTTCCCCGCGCGTAACGCAAATATATACAAAATTTGGGAACTTCACAGGGCTATATTTTCTTCATTTTACAACAATTCGCAACCAAACTTTGCAATTTTACTCATTTTAATTAAGATGCTCGTTCCAGTTATGGTAATGGTTTCGTTCATCTTGTCTAGATCATAATTTCGTCTATATAGCTGGGAATTTCAGTTAGCCTGCGACACTCAGACCGGAGTTAAGGAATATCGTGTTTCTTAAGTGACGTTCTCGTACCGCCAGCTGAGCTAAATTGAAACTTTTGAAGTGCAAGTCACCTGACATTGTAACCTAATAAAAATTAATACTACCACAATGCTCAACACCTCCGATCTCGTCATTTCTAGATCTCGAAGCAATGAACGGCGTCGAAGACGGAGTCGTAGCGGCGAACGAAAGAACAACGAGCGACGTCGTGGCAGTCCAGACAGACGTCGGAGTGGCAGTCCTAGGAGAAGACCAAGTAGGAACGATGAGAGGAGAGAGAGAAGACGAAGATCTAGGAGTGGCAGTAATGATAGGTGTGTGTGTGTTGCGTATAATAAAATAACTTTATGTACCGGGTGTCCCAAAAAAATTGGACACCGTTTGATTTCATGCAACGTAAAAGCTATAAAGGATATCGCAATGAAATTTAGATCATTGCATTCAGAAAGGACTAACTTAGATTTTGATATATAGCACTTGAATTTACATGCAATATTGACGTACTGTAAAGGCCATTGGTAAAGGCCATTGCAATACCGATCCACTGTTAGTGCCGGAGGAAATCTAAAGAAAACTAATGCCCCAGTCAAGCGAGAACAAGAGTTGCATGAAAGTTGATTGGATATTACCGCTATGAGAATCAACTTCCATTCTCGCTTTGACCGAGGCTTATGTAACTCAATTTCGTCCATTATTTTTCTAGTGGTCATTGGCAAGTGTTGCCTCGTGATGAGTCCATCTCTGCAGAAGAACGAGATCGTCGTACTGTGTTTTGTATGCAACTAGCGAGGAATATAAGACCACATGATCTAGAGGAGTTCTTCTCCAAAGTTGGACAGGTATGGTACATGTAAATGATATAACTTACTCGAGAAAGTCGATGAACTAAATATTTTAGGGGAAAAAGCATCGTTATTGTCTAATTTTCCATTGATGTATATCATCTTTCAGGTACGAGATGTCAGAATCATTTCTGATCGAAATTCACGAAGATCAAAAGGCATTGCTTACGTTGAATTTACAGATGCGTCTGCTGTTCCACTGGTAAGTAACGGAAAGGGGGTAACTATGTAATTGTAAGGAGTTGGAATATTCCATTGCATCTCAGACTAAGAACCCAAAATATTTCAATTTTTCGACCGCCTGATTGTGACTTTTCTGCGCCGTTTATAAAATCGCTCCGGTGTACGTGGTCTCAATCTATAGCCCTGGGCAAACTAGGAAACGTTGCGGAAACATTGTTTCCTACCAATGTTTCGCTATGTTTCCCAGAGTGGGCAAACACTAGGAAACATTAGTGAGAAACATAGGGAAACATCAAATGTTTCTGAATTCGCTAAGAAACAATTTTTGCTTCTCGGGAAGCAAATTTTGTTTCCGCAACAATGTTTCCACGGGTGGGCAAAAAGGGAAACATTGGAGGAAACATCGAGAATCACAAATGTTTCCACAACAATGTTTCCTAGTTTGCCCAGGGCTTATCTAAAATTGTCTCGTTTTCCAGGCGATCAAACTGACTGGTCAGAAACTACTCAGTGCGCCGATCATCGTTCAGGAAACACAAGCAGAGAAGAACAGATTGGCAGCAGAAGCGGAGAAGCTAAAGCGACCTATAGGTCCAACACGTATCTACGTCGGGTCTCTTCATTTCAACATCACAGAGCAGATGATCAAAGCGATCTTTGAACCGTTTGGTATCATCGATACAGTACAGATGATTCATGACTCGGAGTCGGGCAGATCAAAGGGATATTGTTTCATACAGTTCCGAGACCCGGACAGTGCCAAGAGAGCGATGGAACAGATGAACGGTTTTGAGTTGGCTGGAAGACCGATTAAGGTAATGTTTGCAAGGTCTTAGCTAGGATTTCATATTGTGGGAGTGCTTTTGGAATTCCAGAGAGTGTTGTTTAGTTCAGGGAGAGGGCATGAGTGAACTGTTAGAACCCGTTTGAGCGTTTTAATATCGAGGGGGAAATAATAGGTTATTGAGAAGCGTGTATTGGAAATGTGACGCTAGCGAACTATTGTAGAATTATTCTCGAGTATTTTTACGCTTTCCGAAAGTCTCGCAACATCACTCGTGCATGAATCACGCAATCCTGTACGGAAAAACCATTCGGTATTCCTTTTATCGTGTTAAATTTGGATTTACTATTGTCATAATATTTACACAGGTAGCGTAACTCGCCAAGGCGATTTTCAGTAGTGCCCTGGATTAGCTTTGTTTATCATGGTTCATGCATTTCATTTAATATGTTTTCTACGTGATTAATACCAATGAAGTCATGAATCTACTATTATGTAACTTAACCCACCCGGTAGAGAATCTGAATACCCGCAGAAAATTCACGACTTTCGGCAGAGCCATGACGGACTTTTTTCGCATTAAGGTCTTGAGTCGCAGAATCGCACCAACGATCTCATTAAAGGCGGTCACTTCGTTGCTCTGACGTCAAATTGTGCCACTGAAGCTCTTTATAAAATTTATGAAACTTTTTAACATCTAAATACTTAGGTTGGTCCGGTGACAGAGCGAAGTGATTCTGGTGGTATGTCATTCCTGGATGATGAAGAATACGAGAAAGGTGGCATTGAGATGAATGCCGCGGCCAGAGCTGCTCTCATGCAGAAATTATCACAAACACACTCTGCAGGTATGCAGCATTACCGCGTTACCTGCAAATGAGTAGAGACCTTACGATTTTAGGACGGCAACACGACGACGACGGCCAAAACAAATTCCTTCAAATCTGTGATTTGGCGTTGCAAACAGAGCGAAGGATAATGTCTAATTATTCATATATTGTAATTTTTCAATTCTTTTCAATGATTTATTGTATTGGTAGCCGTTGCTGTCGCGTTGCCGTCCTAAATCATAAGGTCTCTACTAGAGCTAACTGCAAACTGGGTCAGAAGGTCTTGTACACGCTAGTATGGAAGAAAAACATTTTCCTAGGATCTTTTTTACAATATTTACCGACCAGATTTAGTGTCTCTTTTCTATTTTCAAACGTCGTGTAGTTTCACTATTTTCCTGTTCTATGACTACTGTAAATTTATTTATCAAATCTCAAGCTGTCAAGTTCCGAGTTATATTTCCTATTGCCAAAATGTACTTATGCCCAATTATTCAAAATTCTCTAATATAAGCGTGGAATGGAACGACGGTATTAAGACCCATTTCCACTCGGGAAAATTTCCCGCAGAATGAAAATTTTGTAAAATGTGATTGGCCGACACAAATTTTCTGTCGGAAAAAAATTTGAAGTTGAAAATTTTCAACTTTTAACAATATTTTCTGAACATTTTTTGTCCATGCAAATGGGCCTTAACCAAGCATTTAGACTTAAACATGTTTTAGGTGATTATAGTCAAACCCAAATCACATTTTTCTGGTAACACAAATGCCTTAAAGGGCCATTTCCGCTTAAGAAAAATTTCCACGGACAGAAATTTTCCGAAAATATCATTGTTAAAAGTTGAAAATTTTCAACTTCAAAATTTTTTTCCGACGGAAAATTTGTGTCGGCCAATCACATTTTACAAAATTTTCTTTCTGCGGAAAATTTTCCTGAGTAGAAATCGAGACCTTTAAGGTACCACTGTTCTGATATCGTTAGTATAGCTCCCATATTTCTCATATAAATTATGTATTATGTACTAACTGTCGTTTGTTTTTTAGGTCTGTCAGTACCAGGCGCTCCCCCCGCCAACCCAGCCGTGTCAATCTTACACACACCTGTCAACATCCCTCTACCTACGCCATGCTTAATGATCAGCAATATGTTTGATCCCACAAAGTAAGTATTCTAACATCATAATCCATCAAAATGCAACCAGGGCTGCTCTCTTGCACGCTACAATTTCCACCAAGGGTGATAAACATAATTTACTTTCCGGGACCAAAAGAGGTTCATTGGGAAATTTTCTGTGAATAGTCGAGTACAATCGACACTCGGACACTATAACTGTGTAACACTAACAAGTTGTCAAACTGTCATGCTACTGTATATTCTAATAGAAAAAAATTTCTGTACACTATAACACTAAGAATCTTAATAGTACTTTTAGGAATATAATATAAAACTAATTTAGATAACATGCATCAGGGGTAAATTTACATCCCAAGGTAAATTTACAAATGCCAAAAAAGGGTACTACTGGGGAGCACTATAATAGGGGGATCTGGGGGGCATGCTCCCCCAGAACATTTTGCCATACAACATTTGTTACATCATTCTATAGTCTATACACTATTGCACTATTAAGATGGATGTACTTATAATTGCATTTCTGAGCTCATAACTACAGTACAGGTAACATTCTTTCTGTTGCTTAGAATTTTCCTCTGCATATCTAAATTTTTACAATTGTCTTTTTTGCTCTCTTGGGGAAATATTTTCTGGGTACTCATTACTCAAAAACGTTTCTGGGACCAATGGTGCCATGGTCCGATACTTATTCCACCCCTGATTTCTACATGTATACTTGGATTTGACTAGACTTGCAACATTTATTTCCTAGACCCTAAATATTTCTTTCTGCCATAACAGGGAAAAAGATCATGATTGGCATTTAGACATTCAAGATGATGTTTTAGACGAACTCTCTAAGTTTGGAGGCATCATTCATATTCATGTGGATCAGACTTCGGTACAGGTGGGTTAAGACATTTGTTATGTGGTTCTCCTATATTCTTCCTCTGTTTCCTAGCTCAGCCATTTGCGTGGACCAATGCTAATATGATAGAAGATGCATATGTTTCAGAGGAAGTGCAACCTTGAAAAAGAGTAGTCTTTCTCTAATTTTATTTTTTGTTACTCTACGTAAGGATTGGCAAAGTGGTATTACGTCATTTACAGTATATCAAAAGTTTCAACCATAAAAACTAAAGATGCGGTCGAACATGCGGCCCTGCGATTCCGGTGCAGCGCTCTAACCAACTGAGCTACAGAGAGACAGTTGTCGAGCTCTAACCAACTGAGCTACAGAGAGACAGTTGTCGAGCTCTAACCAACTGAGCTACATAGAGACAGTTGTCGAGCTCTAACCAACTGAGCTACAGAGAGACAGTTGTCGAGCTCTAACCAACTGAGCTACAGAGAGACAGTTGTCGAGCTCTAACCAACTGAGCTACAGAGAGACAGTGTCGAGCTCTAACCAACTGAGCTACAGAGAGACAGTTGTCGAGCTCTAACCAACTGAGCTACAGAGAGACAGTTGTCGAGCTCTAACCAACTGAGCTACAGAGAGACAGTTGTCGAGCTCTAACCAACTGAGCTACAGAGAGACAGTTGTCGAGCTCTAACCAACTGAGCTACAGGGAGACAGCTGTCGAGCTCTAACCAACTGAGCTACAGAGAGACAGTTGTCGAGCTCTAACCAACTGAGCTACAGAGAGACAGTTGTCGAGCTCTAACCAACTGAGCTACAGAGAGACAGTTGTCGAGCTCTAACCAACTGAGCTACAGAGAGACAGTTGTCGAGCTCTAACCAACTGAGGTACAGAGAGACAGTTGTCGAGCTCTAACCAACTGAGGTACAGAGAGACAGTTGTCGAGCTCTAACCAACTGAGCTACAGAGAGACAGTTGTCGAGCTCTAACCAACTGAGTTACAGAGAGACAGTTGTCGAGCTCTAACCAACTGAGCTACAGAGAGACAGTTGTCGAGCTCTAACCAACTGAGCTACAGAGAGACAGTTGTCGAGCTCTAACCAACTGAGCTACATAGAGACAGTTGTCGAGCTCTAACCAACTGAGCGACAGAGAGACAGTTGTCGAGCTCTAACCACCTGAGCTACAGAGAGACAGTTGTCGAGCTCTAACCACCTGAGCTACAGAGAGACAGTTGTCGAGCTCTAACCACCTGAGCTACAGAGAGACAGTTGTCGAGCTCTAACCTACTGAGCTACAGAGAGACAGTTGTCGAGCTCTAACCAACTGAGCTACAGAGAGACAGTTGTCGAGCTCTAACCAACTGAGCTACAGAGAGACAGTTGTCGAGCTCTAACCAACTGAGCTACAGAGAGACAGTTGTCGAGCTCTAACCAACTGAGCTACAGAGAGACAGCTGTCGAGCTCTAACCAACTGAGCCACAGAGAGACAGTTGTCGAGCTCTAACCAACTGAGCTACAGAGAGACAGCTGTCGAGCTCTAACCAACTGAGCTACAGAGAGACAGTTGTCGAGCTCCAACCAACTGAGCTACAGAGAGACAGTTGTCGAGCTCTAACCAACTGAGCTACATAGAGACAGTTGTCGAGCTCTAACCAACTGAGCTACAGAGAGACAGTTGTCGAGCTCTAACCAACTGAGCTACAGAGAGACAGTTGTCGAGCTCTAACCAACTGAGCTACAGAGAGACAGTTGTCGAGCTCTAACCAACTGAGCTACAGAGGCCAGTTGCCGAGCTCTAACCAACTGAGCTACAGAGAGACAGTTGCCGAGCTCTAACCAACTGAGCTACAGAGAGACAGTTGCCGAGCTCTAACCAACTGAGCTACAGAGAGACAGTTGTCGAGCTCTAACCAACTGAGCTACAGAGAGACAGTTGTCGAGCTCTAACCAACTGAGCTACAGAGAGACAGTTGTCGAGCTCTAACCAACTGAGCTACAGAGACCAGTTGTCGAGCTCTAACCAACTGAGCTACAGAAGACAGTTGTCGAGCTCTAACCAACTGAGCCACAGAGAGACAGTTGTCGAGCTATAACCAACTGAGCTACAGAGAGACAGTTGTCGAGCTCTAACCAACTGAGCTACAGAGAGACAGTTGTCGAGCTCTAACCAACCTCATGAGCTACAGAGAGACAGTTGTCGAGCTCTAACCAACCGAGCTACAGAGAGACAGTTGTCGAGCTCTAACCAACCTCATGAGCTACAGAGAGACAGTTGTCGAGCTCTAACCAACTGAGCTACAGAGAGACAGTTGTCGAGCTCTAACCAACTGAGCTACAGAGAGACAGTTGTCGAGCTCTAACCAACTGAGCTACAGAGAGACAGTTGTCGAGCTCTAACCAACTGAGCTACAGAGAAACAGTTGTCGAGCTCTAACCAACCTCATGAGCTACAGAGAGACAGTTGTCGAGCTCTAACCAACTCCCTATACGAAAACAATCCATTCACAAATAGCTGCAATATTCAACTACTAAGCTTGAAACTTGTGCTCCTATTAAGCTTTGCGCGGTCAGAGTTTAAGGTTTAAGGTTTAGAGTTTGCAAAGGACAACCTTTTTTGAATTAGCTGTATGCTAAGGTGATGCCATGGTAAGATATATGTTTAAATATAAGGATTATTTGAATACCTCACTCGATTGAACTTTGTAAATGGAAATTTTGAGTGTAAATTAGAAATTCATAGAAAATTCCGGGGGAGGAGAAACATAAACTGAATTCCTGGGGGTCACGATTTAACTGTTACAAAGATGTCCTCAACCCCACTGTGTGAAAAATAAATGCAATCTGCCAATAGACATTTTCCAGTATAGTATTCGATTCCTGCATTTCGTAGCAAATTGACAGAAATTAAACTCAATCACGTGCGAGCCGAATGCTGCAGATGCGAGATTTTTAAGTGCGTATGTTGTGCTTCTATGTTCTTTCTTACCTTTGATGAAGTTTCTTCATGTCAGGAGAGGCGTAGCTTGCAGTCACGAGATTCACCTTATGTTGGATACACATCTGAGCAACTTGAGGATGGAATGTAAATGGCAGTAAACTACAAAACAAAGAGAAATTGATATAATCAGGTTAATTCATTCTCAGTGTTAGAACGTCAGCATTGGGAGCATTTTGGTGGAAATGGTGAGTAAATTATGTACAACTCAAGGGTTGGGTAATAAAAATTTATTGTCATTTCCAAAGCCAGACTCACTCAAATATTGAAGACTAAAAAGCAATGTCAACAGTCATATGTCAATACAATATGTCAATCAATCAATCAATCAATCAATCAATCAATCAATCAATCAATCAATCAATCAATCAATCAGAGTCACTATCTTGATCATTTTCCGATTTGTCACGAGACAAATGGTATTACCAAAGAAAATACATGTGCAGACAACATGAAACTTTAGACTGCAGAAAATTGCACAAGCAATTATCAAACTCATGTCACAGAAGTGGTAAAGGACATGTGCGACAACTCAATGGTAACCTTTTGTAACGTTTTTGGCCAGGGGTGGGTATTTAGTTTTTAATTGAAAGTTGGGGTTGAGTTGACTTTTTACTGGTAGAAAAGCAAAAATTTTACCAACAAAAACATTCGGTGCCACCCTTCCCCCCAAAAATAATGATCGCTCCCTTAGGCCGTTATTTTTCTGTTACCTTATAACCAGCTTGTGATCTCCAACTAATCTATTCAGGCTGTCTTGTTCTTGCTGAATATTGATTGAAACTGATGACGCGTTTGCATAAGCCTCGCTGAGTGCGGCTGCTTCTTCGGTTTCCATTGACGCTAGATAAGATTAGAGAGCTTATTAATTATTCGTACAGTAGTATATCACATACCTGTGCCTTCATCAGGGCGATAATAGGGTGACATAAAAAAACGATATATCACAGATATCTTTTTTGTCACTGATAGTGATATCATTTTTTGTCACTGATATCATTTTTTGTCACTGATATCATTTTTTGTCACTGATATCATTTTTTGTCACTGACATCACAGTTTTTGTCACTGATATCAATTTTTGTCACTGATATCAATTTTTGTCACCTATATCATTTTTTGTCACTCATCATTTCTTGTCACTCATATCATTTTTTGTTACTCATATCATTTTTTGTTACTCATATCATTTTTTGTTACTCATATCAGTTTTTGTCACTCATATCATTTTTTGTTACTCATATCACTTTTTGTTACTCATATCAGTTTTTGTCACTCATATCATTTTCTGTCACTGATATCGTTTTTTGACACTGACATCAGTTTTTGTCACTGATATATCATTTTTTGTCGCTCATATCATTTTTTGTCACTCATATCATCTTTTGTCACTGATATATCGTTTTTTGTCACTGATATAATTTTTTTTCACTGATATCGTATTTTGTCACTGATATCATTTTTTGTCACTGATATAATTTTTTGTCATTGATATCATTTTTTGTAATTGACATCAGTTTTTGTCACTGATATCGTTTTTGTCACTGATATCGTTTTTGTCACTGATATAATTTTTTTTGTCACTCGTTTCAGTTTTTTTGTCACTGATATCATTTTTTGTCACTGATATTATTTTTTGTCACAGATATAATTTTTTTGTCACTCATATAATTTTTGTCTATATTGAGATCAGTTGCAGCCCTCTCCCAAAAATGAATCGGGCAAATGATGAAAGAAAAGCACAACGTATTAAAATAGTAAAAAAGCAAGAAATATGTAACGCTGGCAAAATGTCATAACTGCATGATGTGGCAAAAAATGCATCAAAATTGCGTGCCCGTTATCTCGGTTGCGTGATACAAACTTTCCACACTGGCCACCGGCACCTATTCATTTCAAACAATTTGAAAATTATCAACATCGAAAATTATTATATATTAACATTGAAAATTAATAATTACATTTTGAGAATTATTGAGTAATATATAGACTCAACACGGAGCGCTTGTCTCCCAGTTTCACCACAAAAAACATATATATTGTCTTCACCCTTGTTTACACTTTCAAGATTTGAAAGATTTGAAGAAACTGACTTAATGTTAAACATTTCTTACAGATCCTTCAAAACATAGAATTTACCGATGCAAAATTCCTATTGTGATCCTGACAGAAATTTGATAGTGTACACCAGGCTATAATTATTATTATGACTCTAAAAGAATATTATTATTCTAACGACAATTATCACAACAATACAATTATAACAATAAAGTTTGTCTTCACAAGAGATTTCAAGACGACCATTTCAAGCAGCAGTTTTGGAACGAAATGGAGAATGTTCAGGAAGCATCAATGACCATCCTTGAAAGGGTTGAACAACAGGAACATCATCTTTATACAGCGTGTAGCCAAGCATTCCTGCTACCAGAGCTGCTGTGTCCTCTGTACCATCAGCTAGACTTTTGATTTCAAGTGGAACAGATAACAAACCACTGGTAAACAAGTTAGGCTGCACTTTACTCGTGTCTTCAACAAACTCGGTTAACCAGCCAAAATAACCAGGCATTTCACCCGACTCTTCCGCGCCGTCGTATTGAATGATCTTATCCCACCACATCTTATCAGGGCTACCTGAAATATTAAATATCATTATCACCATGATAATCCGCCAACTTATATGCTTGAAATGTAACTCTGTTTGCAGTTTTACATATTTAATGTCCTTCTGATATTAGATCTACTTCATTTCCACGTCCATTTCCAAGGTCCATTTCCACGCAAGAAAATTTTCCCAGACATAAATTTTCTTAATCTTGTTTCTAAAAACGTTCACCTTTGTGGTTCATAATTTATTTCTTATTTTTATTTCTCAAGGATATATACAAAAAGTTAATTTATTTAAATTTGCAAGTTGACAATTTTCAATTTGAAGTTGACAATTTTCAATTTTTAACAATTATTATCAGAAAATTTTGAGTTCGTGGAAATTTTTCTCTGGAACTTTTCTGTGGAACTATAATAAACATTGTCCAAGGTCAAATTGATAAAATTTTGGTTAAATTTGGATTAAAATTGGATGAGAAATTAGCATGCGTAATTACCCATGAGCGCCAGCTAATATAGGAAAATATCAAAATCAAAACAGGAAGAAAAAAGTTAGATTTACGTTAAATGCATAGGAATATGTTTCTTCAATAGGAAAGTTAAAAATAAATAAAAAAAACCTCGGTACGTCTTCAACAGTTCTGCAAAAACGTTTTCTGCATGTGACCACCAATTACGAGAAAGCCCAATTTCACATGTTATCGGTTCCAAGGTCTTCCTCAATGCTTGCAACTTCTCACCCAAACGTACCCAATCTTTTTCGCTACCCAGCATTTCAATAGCAGGGATACCGCAAAAGGTCCTTATGCCGTATTCAAAATACTGCTGTAAGGATGACATGATGCTGATTTGTGAAACCATTTTCATAGTTGGAGATGTCGTCGTGAAATCAGCTGTGACCGCGTCCAGGTATTCGGGCACTTTCACGTTCTTTGAAATTTCCTTGGACATCTGGTCGAAGAACAAGCTATAATGTGAAAGTTTTAAAGTTTTTTTCACTTCAAAGTTTTGACACATGCACATCTAGTTAACGAAGTTGAAGGATGCTCTATCCATATTTTGGGATCAGTGTGCTTTATGCCTCAGTGAGTACTGGAAATTTAGGGGAAATGTTATATTTGTAGGGGGACGCTGGGGAAAACATATGTTTGAGACGTATAGAGCCCGTCGCACACTAGAGCTAGTGATAGAAAATTGCCTAGTTAGAAAATTGGGGCTTTCTCGAGGTATGAACAACTGAATTGTAGTACTGGTTAATACTTTACATTATACCCACGATTTCGTTCGTTTGTTCATACTGAAAATAGTCATGTTTAATGTTATTGTTGTTGTGTCTATAGAGTTTAGGAGGACCAGATTGGAAAAAAGTTTTAACTTTATCTGTTCATCCTCAATATATAAAGTGTTGTTATCATTATTTCATTCGTGTCTACCTTGCGTAAGCAATTTACCCCAGTGTCACAGAGAAGAGATATACAGAGAGGAAACACGCGGCAAATTGTGTCACGCCGATATATTCAGTCTATTAGGAGGTAACCACAGAATAAAGATCAGTAACAGAAGGGCAACTCAGCGGTGCAACGTGTCCTCGTTTTTTTATGCAAAAATATGCAGTTTACTGGCCAGAAGGCGGAGCAGCCAGCCAGTACAGCGTGTTTATTGGCCAGAAAATGTCATTGACTGGCTAGGAAAATGGCGGCCAACATGTGTAATGCGACATGCGCGAGGACAGAAACTTCAAAGCTTCCGACGTAAGTTGCCCTTCTATGTGGATCTTTATTCTATGGAGGTAACTACAGAAAATTATATTAATTCACTATTTTATTAAATTTTGACAATACAGAGGAAAAAACTATACGTATTATAGAAGTATTCATGTTTTTTTTATGTTTTTTTTAAAATACGAGCATCTGAAACTCCCAGCCAGTGCTTTTCACGATTTTAATAAGGAGTAGATAGGAAAAAAAACAAACTTTTGCAAAATAAAATGTTATGTTAACACTTTTAATAAAAAGAAATCAATAAAAGTGATCGCTTACCGTTATTCTACAATAATTTTTTGAACAAAACTTCCATGGGTATCTCATTTTTTTAAAAAAGCGATTTTCACCTTTCGAACGGCGTTTTCCCTATCTTTTGCTATGAAATTTCAGCGACGGCACTGGCTGGAAGATTTCGCGCGCGCACATGAAAAGCGAACAGCTCACAACATTATACGAATATACGCATGCATAATACTTGCGTCTTACCAATCACGGTTGCCGAATACGCATGCGTAGTCGCATTGTACGCTGTTTGCTTTTCCTGTGAGCACACTTGGAAGAAATCGTTACTCGTGGCAAAACTGTTCGGAGTACTCCAGAGTTTTGGAACACTAATGGAATGAAACAGAAGACAGTCACATGACAGCCAGAACAGAACACATGACACTGCCCATTTTCACGTGATTAGAAATGGAGGCGACAGATTGTGTGTATATCCAATGCGCACTGCATGAAGTGTTATTTTGAAGGGTTAACCGCTATATATCGACATATACTTATTATATGCTATTTGAACGGCAGGTTGAACAAATTCAACGAGTAAAAACGTTGCAAAAGCATACTTAGATATACAAATAACAGCAAATCATTATACGATATTTCAAAAACTCATTAATAATTCATGAAGCAATTATCCAGTCTTGAGTAAGAAATTAGTCACGTGCATACGTCTTTATACCAGCTAAAGAACACTTTAACAAAAGACCATTGTTATGCAAACTATATAAAGATTTTTATATAAAGATTTTTATATAAAGGTTTTTATATAAAGATTTTTATATAAAGATTTGACTTATTATGCAAACGTTTTTGAAGCCATTTAAAAAACTCGCAGGTCGTGTTTTATTAGGTCTAAAGCCACTCGCGCTGCGCGCTCGTAGCTTTAAACCTAATAAAACACTCCTGCTCGTTTTTTAAATAGTACATTATGCGAATAACTAATGAATATAGCAATGCATGGTTGCATGCGCATATATAATAAACTATTATTGTTATAGACAACGAATATTCCAGAACATTCTTTAAATATTCCATATAAATATAATATCTCAGTCAAACAATGACAACAGTCAAAGGGGCCCCCACACCAAATGTGGATGGATGGAAAAGGCCTGACTATAGATCAGTGGGGCCTAACGATATGTTAATCGGTCTTTTTGATTGGTTAGTACAAATTAAATAAAAGCATTAACAGTGTACCTACCTATAGTCGACATCGTAGATGCACGTTGTGGGTACATCAACACATAGTTTCTTCTTCCCTCCATGTTCCACAAACAAATCACGAATTTCTTTCATTTCAGCTTTTTCATCAATCGCCAAAGAAACTTTCTTTACAACACAGAACCACCAATCATCTGGTGAGGTTCTTAGCTTCCAATGGTTATTATAAGCCGCTAAAACGGCCGAGAAAATGCCGTTATCGTCGTCACAACATACCATTCCGTCCGAGCCAAGAGTTGCGACCCTATTGCCAACATTTTTTCGCGGCGCATTGTACGAATACCTGGATGGGTTTTCTACTCTTTTGGCAAATTCCTCGAAGGCCGACTGGGCAGGCATTTTTTTAAAGCGACGAAAAACATCTTTTACAGCAGTCGGAGGCGAGGTCTTAGCTAACTCAACACACTTCATGACGATGCCGTAACGCAATTGCAGCGCAGAAGATAAAGACGAATATATATAGCCAATTTTAAACATCCTGGTAACAAATTAGACCTTCCTGGTTACTGACTGTATTGTAAAATAGAATAATATATTTGCACACATTATAAATACAGAATACAACCAGGGCTCGAAGTATAGATAAAATACATGGCCTGCCAGTCTAAAGTTTGGCAAGTTACATATATTTTAGCCTGCCATTTTTATTCATTGAACTGCCAAAATGGTGATGTCTCATACGAGTCATATTGTAAAAATCAATGTTTTCATGATATGCATTTTTATTATTTTTAAACTTGTCTATTTTACTACAGTAAACTTGGATTTACATTCCAAACATAAAAGTACTTGGTCAACTAAATGATCTAGTATATATGAGTTGTGGTATAAGTAAATGAAATGAAATATATCTATAGAATTTCACCTGCTATTTTTTTACTTGGCAGTTCAAATTTGTTTTTGCCTTAGGCTTAGCATATATTCAAATTAATATAGCTCAATTATCATTCCAAATTTTAGGGCCCGAAAAGTTGATATTAAAGTCTCCATAAACTGTAGTTTGTACGAACTAAAGGTAAAGCGCATGAACAATTTGATGCAAGGCCGAGCAATTAAAACGAAGAATATACAAACGTACAAAGAACTTAAAACGAAGAAGTTGTCAAAAGCAACCAGAAGTCCGCCTCGATCAAACTGGGAAGTAAACAGTGCAACATAGAACTTAACAATATCTGCAAGTTTCAATAATTTGTCTTTCTTAAAATGAGGACATGTATGTGCCTGGTAAAATAAGAAATTCATTATACGGACAACTTTCTTTTGTAGGATATCAGAGCGTACTGCAGAACATACTGTGGCGTATTATTTTGTTTCCTGAGCAGTAGGGTGGAACAACTTTACTTCGACACAAAAGAATATTCTACATTAGTATTTTAATTTGCACAAGTGAAGTAGTGAACATAACAAATCCTACAACTCTACAAGTTGATTGGTCAGATTTGACGTATTAATCTGTAAAATTCACCTAAAAGTGAATATAACAAAACCGAAATTTACAAAATGGTGGCTAGCCGTTTTCTGGAAGTTATAGCGTAGAATAAAGCAAAATTAAAATAAAATCGGTCCCAAAAAAAACACAAAAAACTTGTGTAAAAATACTAAAACAATTATTCTGAATTCTGAAGAAGAATATTATGATGAGAACGATCACGATGATTCAGATCATGATGAAGAATCAGACGAAGACACCTCCTACAATGCAATAAGGAACAAAGTTGTACCATCTTTTCTTGAGGCCCTGAGAATCCTGTCGCATCCTCATTACCACCTGGTCGATGCATATCCCACACTTTATAAAGTGTACTTGCAATCCCCATCAGCTCTACCACTGCCGAGCGCTCATTCTTAGCACTGAAGAGAGTGAAAACTTGAATTCGATCAACTATGTTGCAAGGACGACTGGAAGCCTTACTTTTGATGGCTGTTGAGCGGGGAATTTTACAGTCTCTTTCTCTTTCAGAATAATGACAATGAAAATCTCAAAGATCTTTTATCACAAACAATCTTATCTGGATATGATCTAAGACCAATATGTAAATATCATATATAATTATATTTGTAGAACTGAACGTTTTATTTTAAGAATTCGTTTTTCCCTCCAAGTATATTGCAACCCACGTACTTAATTGTTTCAAAGTTCGAAATTTCAACCTTTTCCCAATTTCTCAACCGTTCGTGATTATGTGATTAATCAACCATTTCGTGATTACGGGCCCTTTAAGTCGATACTTACACAAAGTGTTTAATGTACATAAAAATATGAAACTAGTTTTACAGTCTCTGGACAAAGAGCGAATTATTGACGTGTTTGAAAAGACGTCGATGGAACTATCAAAAGCACCTTTGTATATAAACTAACATTTTTTACAAATCAAACTTTGTCCTTATAGAATCATAGAACTAGAAAACTGTAAACACAATTTAATCAATAATATCTCTCAGTCGTTCATCAACTTCCCTGCATTTGGTATATATATGCAAATATCCAATACCTTAACTCCTCAATGCATTTATAGTTTATTGATCTAGCTATTTCGTCAAAACGCAAGAAATGGCTTTTCAGGGACTATCGATTTAAAAAATTTCCAAGGGCAAGACCCCATTAGCATTTCGCGTCTATGACGCTTGCCCATATACAAATTACAAGAAAGAAAGAGGACGCCAAATTCCCAGTTGGCCTCGGGCTTTCTAACAACCACGGAGGGCCACCTCCTATGAGGGCGGGCCACCTCCTATGAGGGCGGGCCACCTCCTATGAGGGCGGGCCACCTCCTATGAGGGCGGGCCACCTCCTATGAGGGCGGGCCACCTCCTATGAGGGCGGGGCCACCTCCTATGAGGGCGGGCCACCTCCTATGAGGGCGGGCCACCTCCTATGAGGGCGGGCCACCTCCTATGAGGGCGGGCCACCTCCTATGAGGGCGGGCCACCTCCTATGAGGGCGGGCCACCTCCTATGAGGGCGGGCCACCTCCTATGAGGGCGGGCCACCTCCTATGAGGGCGTTTAATGGATGTTCAGGTGGAGGATGGACTTTAGTGACGAAAGTCAATGGAAAAAAGTTGAATTAATTACTAGTTAAGGTGGCGAACTTCTGTTTCTTAAGGCTTGATGTTGTTGTTGTTGTTGTTGTTATACAGTAATGCTAAGCATGGTATTGCATGATGTTGTTGTTCCTGCTGTTGATATTGTTGCTGCTGTTGTTGTTGTTCCTGCCTTTTTATGGTTCACAAGCTATCAACTTTGGTTAATGTAAAACCTAATGTAAACATTTGCCACCCAGAATGGCGGGAGCAAAAAATATCGACGTCGAATTATGCGTTCAGGAAACAAAGAATGCACTACGTCACGGTAGAACATTAGAAACG